TATTGCTTCGATTTTCATGTCGCGTTCAGTGTTTATGTCGGCGCTTGGTCGATCGATTGACAACAACTCTGCGGCACTTAAATCGCACTTTTTTATGGTGTTTGGGTTTGGGAACCTACTTAAAGACGAAGATACGTCCCAAAAGGCTTCGCAAAACAAAGAATAAATATTCTCGAGTGTATTTAGACGTGCACATCACAGCCAAACCAACTGATTATTGCCAAAATAAAGCTTACTTTGGCCAACTTTGGCCAATTATTGGGATTTAATAGACACTTGACGACTTGTATGGGGAATAAGAGGTAAGAATCTATCGAGCTAGGGAGCTCATTTAGCCTTGTCAATTTGTCGCGATATTTGTTCTAGTTAATATTTGTGTTATATACTGACGTTTTAGACGTGCACATGTGAGAATTTGTAAGGTTATAAAACAAAAAAAACGAAATATAATTTTTCCTCTATCAATTCTATACATTGCCGCCATTTTGAATTTATTTAATTTGCGCTCTGCACGCATGCTTTTCCGCCATACTGTATTGGATTTCTAGCCATGAATAATATGTTTGTGATGTTACTCTGAGTGCATATCCACACCGGGCAGGCTTGAAAAATATGCCTGGCCACGGTAAGTTCGTTTCCCACCGTGGCCAGGCATATTTTTCAAGCCTGCCCGGTGTGGATATACACTCAGAGTAACATCACAAGCATCTTATAATTCACCTGAGGCTGAGTTCATTACACCGACACAGCAAATATAATAATAATAATAATAATGGTATCAAGATAATGAGTATCTAAATTAAGCAAAATACAATTATTGAAAAAAAAACACAACATACGTGGGAAAATTATCGATTAATTTAAAAAATGCTTTTAACTTTTGGTAATAGACTAAAGTGTGTTATAATTGCTTATAGCAGACAAGCTGTCTGTTAACAACATCTCTCCTTGGTAGACCGAATTCGAATTATTTTAAAAAGAACCTCTTAATTTATTAATAATATATAGCCTTGCGAAATTTGCAATTTTCAGTTATTTTGTATTACAAACGGGAAATTGATGCCCCAACACCCGATTGTCAATTTACCGTGCGTAATACAAAATGACTGAAAAACGGCAAACTTCGCAAGGCTATCTTATCCACATTTTACAACATTTCGCAACGAAACTTCGGAATATTACTGATTTTGTGATGCTCTTTCAAGCTGTGATGAAATTTTTGTCTAGATCAAAATTTAGTCTATAATGCAAATGGTCCATTAGACAACAATAACTTGAAACACATTTTTGTGGCATATATTTTGGGCAGAGAAGTGCTCGAAAACAGTTCCGGCCGAACTGTCTAGAGGCTCTCGCTATAACCTAAAGCCCGCCGCACACGAGAGCAACTTGCTGAGCTAACCGCCTCGCGAAGCGATTAGCTCAGCAAGTTGCTCTCGTGTGCGAGGATAGTTTTCGTGAGGATTTAACCTCTCGAGGCCTTGAGGGAAATATCTATATCGTGTTTGTTATTTTTCACCTCGCGAGGAAAAAATCTCAACGTCTGCGGATGTTGTGAGCTAAGTGCTGAGCTGTTTGAATCAATTAGCCAATGACAACTGACCATGGTTTCTTCATGTGACTTGGAACAAAATGGAGGAATATGCAAATGATTTTGTCATTTATGCTGTTGTTGAGTAGTTTTCTCAACGTTTGCGGTGAAAATACATAGCTGAGCTAGCTGCCACGCGAGGCGGTTAGCTCAGCAAGTTGCTCTCGTGTGCGGCGGGCTTTAGTTTTATGTAGAGAAACGGGGCGAATCTCTAGACTGCAGAGGGCATGTTGACTCTGTGCATGTCGTTCTGCGAGTTGAGACCTAGTTGGACTGGTGAACAACTATTGGTGTAGGGCTCATTACCCATGGTACGCAAAGCTGGCTGAGGATACATGCAAAAACTGTAGGTTGTTCTAGAGGAACAGGCGTGGACCTCTAGATAACAGGGGAACAGGCGAACTACCGTTCAGATCCGTCAGGCCGTCGACATTGAGACCTAGTTGGACTGGTGAATAACTATTGGTATAGGGCACATTACCCCTGGCCGCAACTGACAATCTGACTGACCACATCGCATCTCTATAGGTCTGCCTCATTCAGGTCTTCAGTGCGACCTGAATGAGCAGTGACTACTCTGCAATATTATTTATAATAGGAAACATTAGGACAACGCCGTGTGGGAGCCTGTAGCTAATACTGCATGAAATACAGCCAAGTATAGATGACCAATCGTCGATAACCTTGGGTGAGTCAAACGAATCAAATTATTCAAATATCTCATTATATAATTTAGAAAAAATGCCATTTCATCGGGGCATGTCTATGGCATGTTTGAATATAAATAGTCTATTTGCCCATATAGATGAATTACGAGTATTTATGAGTAATAATAAAGTAGACATATTATGTATTAATGAAACCAAACTTGATTCATCAATTAATGACAATGAAATCCATATACCAAATTTTGAAATCATTCGAAGAGATCGACGTACAAATGGCCGTCACGGTGGCGGCATTTGCATTTACATTAGAAGTAATATTAATTACAAAATACGACATAATCTACAATCTGAAACTCTCGAAAATCTAGTTGTAGAAATTAAGAAACCACGATCTAAGTCTATCCTAGTTAGTACATGGTATAGACCTCCAGATTTACCTACTAGTTACTTTGCCGAATTCGAGCAAATGATTGGATCGTTCGATGCTGAAAATTTAGAGTATTTTCTGCTTGGTGATTTAAATGTTGATTTTACCCCAACAACTGAGTCACCGAGCAAGAATAAAGTAAAAGAAATACTTGATATATACGATGTCGAACAATTAATAAACGAAACGACAAGAATTACTGCTACATCTAGCACCCTGATCGATTTATGTCTAACCAATACACCTGTAAATATTGTGAAGTCTGGTGTCATACACGTGTCTATTAGTGACCATTCATTAATATATATATGATACGTAAGGCTAACTATATACGAGGGGGGGCCAGAACGATAGATGCTAGAACAATGAAGAACTTCAACAGAGAATTGTTTCTAAGCGATCTTGAACTAAACCATTGGGATAGATAGTGTCTATTGCTCCCAGGACCCCAAACGAAATGTTTGATGTCTGGAAAAAAATGCTCATGAAAACCATAAATAAGCACACACCACTTAGATCCAGGAGAATTAGAAATAGAAAATCTCCCTGGATTACAAAAGATTTAAGGCGCCAGATATTTAACCGAGATTACCTAAAAAAGAAAGCTGTTACATCCAATGATCCTAAAATCTGGCATCAATATCGACAAACTCGAAATCACATTAATAATGAAATTAAAAAAACTAAACAAGCTTATTATAAGAATAATCTTGAATCGAGTAAAGGCAACATGAAAAAAACATGGAACCTTATAAATGAACTAAGCTCTAGAAATGTAAGCAAAACTAAAAAGATAACACAATTAGATTTTGAAGAGCGAGAAATAACTGCACCTGAAGAAATAGCTGAAACATTTAACAGCTACTTCTCAGGTATTGGTGAAAAACTTGCTTCCGATATTCCTGCTCCTGTGCGTGATCCAGTATTTTATCTTAAACCAACTGATAAATCTTTCTCTCTCAAAACTCCCTCCGTTAACACAGTTTATCAACTGCTGACTACATTAGATGATAAGAAGTCAGCTGGTTTGGACAATATACCAAACAAATTCCTAAAGATAGCTGCAAGTGTTATTGCACCCTCGTTAACAGGAATATTCACTGCATCTATTAATACCGGAATATTCCCGTATGAATGGAAGGCAAGCAGAGTAACGCCAGTATTTAAGAGTGGCACAAGAACTAACCCAGGCAACTATCGGCCTATATCAATTATTCCATGTGTTGCTAAAATTTTTGAAAAAATCATTTTCGATCAACTACATGGGTATCTTGATTCAAATAATTTGCTGAACACATGCCAATCTGGATTTCGACCGTTTCATAGTACCCTAACAGCGTTGCTAGAAGCCACAAGCGACTGATCCATGAATATTGACAATGGCCTAATTAACGGAGTTGTATTTATTGATTTAAAGAAAGCTTTTGATACGATCGATCATCAAATTATCCTGCAAAAGCTTAACAATTATGGTATTGACGAAAACAGTCTTATACCTGGTTTCATTCCGGCATATCTCACTGATAGAACTCAAAAGTGCCGGGTAAACGGTCAACTGTCAGATTCTGTGCCAGTGGCCTGCGGTGTCCCTCAAGGTAGCAGTCTAGGGCCATTGCTATTCCTCATCTACATTAATGATTTACCGAACTGTCTTGATCATACTACTGCAAGAATGTTCGCAGATGATACAAGTATTAGTTATGCGTCCGACTCAGCCAAAGAGCTCCAAAATGTCATTAACACCGAATTGAAAGGTCTAAGCGATTGGCTAACCACTAATAAACTAAGCTTAAATATTGTAAATAATTCATGGTAGTTGGATCTAGACAGAGAATAAAAACACTAAATAATAAAATAGATATTGAGATAAACG